TCTGGGCAGCGGGGACTCCCGGGGCCACCTAACTTGGGGCAGGGGCTGGCACGCAGCCTAAGGGGACCTCGGCAGGCTGGTCTGAGCACCCTGAAGCTCAGTCTAGGCCACAAACACTAAAGGATGTGCCCGCAGGGCTGGTTTTTATCTGTAGGGGCCTGGGGACCCAGATAATTCGGGAGGTCCTGCCCTCTGGGAGAGAACCATGAAGAAAATAGAAGGCGAGATGAGGGGGAAGCCAGGGTTTCTTGACACCTGAGAGCTGTGGATGGGTGTTGGGGGTCAGCCAGGGCAGGTGAGGGGTGAGCAGACCCTCAGCAGGAGACAGACCAAAGGCTGAGTCTGAATAAAGGGGGTTGCCCAACACCAGATTGAGCCCCCTTTCTTAGACACCTCTACCCCATCCCCATTTCTGGGGACACCCAGGAATCAGACCAGAGCCCCACTGTCTGAGCAAGAGGCCAGCCCTCTGTGCACTCTGGCTGGGTCTTCACCTGGCCAGTCTTTCCAAAACAGAATCCTGCAAAGGGGCCCTGGAGACCCACCCCTGCTGCCCTTTTCTGAAGGACTGGAAGTATTAGGTCACTTGTCTCCAGGGGACAGCTCCAGCTGCTGGTGGCCTATAGCATCCAGATGTTCACTCACTCTCAAAGCCAGCCTGACACACACCCCACCCTGTCCCCCGCCCACATACAGTGTGTATGGGAGTGGGGAATGGGTGACCTGGGATCTAAGAGGAAGAGTTCCTGCCTATGAAGGTGCCCCCTCCAGCCCCTAGCTCCATGCCCCATGTCATTCTGGACCTGCACTGCCAGCACTGGTAATGGATTCAGGTGGCCATGTTTGGATGCTCCTGGCCCAAGGCCGCCCTACCCACCTCCCTCCATCTGACCTCTGGCACAGGGAGGATAAATATAACATAGCATTTCTACTTCTTATAAAGGGCTTCCTAATGGGGCCTGGAGGGCCTGGGCATATCTCAGGAGGGGATGGCCAAGCTGCTGGAGAAGGGACAGAAAGTGCCTGGACCCTGGGAATCTGGGTGAATCTGGGTAGGAGGTGTTGAGACCTCCCTTCTCCAGTAAACCCCTTTCTATATTTCCAGGGCACCCTGGCTAGGATCTCTGCCTGTTCACCTGCTGTCCCACCCAATCCCCTGTGTAGTTAAGGGGATGTGGCCATTCCCCACTCTTCTCCCCAGTCTCTAAGGATCCCTGTTCAGGAACCCACGGTGTCACACACTCCCAGCAACCTCAACCACAGGACCACTCTGACACAGGGAAAAGCCATCACAGCTCCCACAGTGCTGGGAACCACGGGGACCAGCTCATGATCATGGTCAGGGTCACACCAACCTGTGGCACCCACACAGGTCATGTGCGGTGGGTGCCGTGGTTTGCAGAGAAACACTCCTCAGGCTGTCAGAGACTCTTCTGACCTCACAGCAGTGACTGCTGCCGGTCCCCTCCGCCCTGGGGGACACACACTGGCAGCCTGGGACTACCGCAGACCCGGAACCCTTGTTCCTCTCGGGCCCTCCCCTGGTGAGCCTCTATTTGCTGGTTCCGCTCCAGGTCCGAGTCCACGCCCTCTGGGCCCCCTCGTCCCGTGGAAGGTGCGCCTCGCCCCACCTCCCCAGGCTCAGGCCAGGCCAGACCTGGGAGGGCATCCCTGGGTCCCTGTCGCTCTTGTCACTGCCCTGCGCTGGAGGGCATCCCTGGGTCCCTGTCGCTCTTGTCACTGCCCTGCGCTGCAGGCCCTCCAACACAGGCTGGGCGGCCGGCCTCTGCCCGAGGCCCCAAGGGTTAACCCAGGCGGGAGGGGCGGGGCCGCTCGGACGTCCACCGCTTAGGCATGGCCGCTAGCCCAGCGCCCCGCGGCGGGCGCCCCTGCGCGCAGAGGCCGCACCTCCGCAAGGTGGGCCTTCCAGCCCCTAGGGTCCGGGGGGCGCGGGGGATGGGGGACGCGGGGGATGGGGGACGAGCAGGGGCTGGCCTCGCCGGCTCTAGGAGCCGGGTCCGGGGGCGCCGCCGAGACGCCCCTCACGGCTCCCTCGCCCAGATGGAGCGGATGGTTGTGAGGATGCAGGACCCTGACCAGGGCGTGCGGACGCGAAGCCAGCGTCTGCTCATCACTGTCATCCCGCACGCGGTGACGGGTGAGGCGCGGTGAGGGCCCTGGGGGGGAGCAGGGAGCCAGGCCTGCGCCCACCCAGCCTCTCCCGTGCAGGCAGCGACGTCGTGGAGTGGCTGGTCCGGAAGTTGTGCATCTCGGAGGAGGGTGAGGGTCGGCCAGCCCAGGGGCTGGGGAGGGCGGGCCGGGAGGAGCACTCACTCACCCCCCACCCCCAGAGGCTCTACACCTGGGCAGCCTGCTGGCGCAGCACGGCTACATATACCCGCTGCGCGAGCCCCGCAGCCTGGCGCTCCGGCCGGACGAGACGCCCTACAGGTTCCAGGTCAGGCCTTGCGCCCGAGCGACCCTGCCTGCCCCGCCGCCTGTCAGGGGGACTCGGGAGGGGACTCGGGAGGGCGGGCCTGCTAGCGCTGGAGGGGGGTGTGGTGAAATCACCGCTGGCGATTCACCGCCCCCTCCCCAGGAGGCTAGGATTGGAAGTGCCCCTGTGATAATGACCAAGTTAAGGGGTGGGGGTTTCAGTTTCCTGGGGCCACTCCAAGACCCCCATAAAAAGGCATTACCTGCAGAGAACTCTGCCAGCTGCCTGCAGGGGATGTCCTTAAGCCTCCACCCCTGAAGAAGGAGGCTGTGTTGGGGGTGAAGATAGGATACCTGCACCTCAACATGTTATTCAAACATGATGGAGCCCCCTTCCTGCCCTTCCCAATCACATCCAAGAATCAGACAACACTAAGCTCGGATGTGACTACATCCGGGACTTGGGCAGGCCCCCACCCCTACCGTATCAGGCCGGGGGAGGCAATCTGTGCGCAAAACCCTAAAGCATGAGTGGACTCAGTTCAAGTGGTAAGAATGGAGAGTGGTCCACTAAGCTCTAGGAGGTGGGCAGATGGCCAGTGGTCTCCTGGACAGGAGCTGTGAGGGTGAGGGCAGTATATGGGTGGAAGGGCTCAGGAGGTGCCTTACATCGTTACCCCACAACATGGCTAGACTCCCTACTTCTGGACCAGCACTCTGTGGCCAGCTGCTGAGTTGGACTATGGTGAGTGTGGAAGACCTGGGGCTAGCACCGGGCCAGCTCCCAGGATTGGGCAGAGCTTGTCTCTCTGCAGCCTGTTCCCTGTCTTTCCAGCCATCTACTTGACCAAGAAGAACATACAAAGGCAGGGAGCCCTGGTCACCCATGAGAAGGTGAGTCCCAGCAGGCTGAGTCTAGCAGGAAGAACCCAAGCCTCACAGTCTGCCCCAGAGTGTGCAGCTCAGTCTTTGAGACAGTCCATACCCACTTTGCTCTTGCTGGGTAGGCCCCCACCCCACCCACCCTGAAGGGGCAGCTAAATGCTCCCAGAGCCAGAGAGACAGCCCCTGCACAGGGCCTCAGGGGAGGGCTGGCCTCCATTCCAGGTGGAAAGATCTCACACACACACACATCACTTACTCCCTCACTCTCACTGAAGAGGTGGGGTCCATGTCCCAGAACTGGGTATGCAAGGGGTCACCCACTAGAGACCTCATGTCCCCAGGAGCACTATGACCAGTTGCATAAGAAGATCAACCACACCTGGGACCTGGTAGTGATGCAGGCTCGGGAACAGCTACGGTGAGCCCTGTCCCTGTCTATGCCCACACCCAGTGACAACAAGCCTGGCAGTCCTAGAACCAGAATACATCCCAGGCTCCAGGTCCTGAGCAGAGTACGAAGGGGGGACTCTGCTTAACCTCCCCCTTCCTCCAGGGCGGCTAAGCAGCGCAGGAAAGGGGACAGGCTGGTCATTGCATGCCAGGAGCAGACATACTGGCTGGTGAACAGACCCCCGGTGAGTCCCTGGGACATGAGGGGGTGGGTTTGTTGGACACACATGGGGTCTGCCTGCATCCTTGGAACCTTTCCTGAAACTCTGACTTGAGCCTGTAGGAATGACATGCCCTTCCTGGTTCTGGTGGGTGACAGGAAGCTGTCATTCTGTGATTCAGTTGAGAACCCAGAGGTGACACACTCAGGACTGTGGCTGCATGCACCCCCAGACCACAGGACCAGTCAGATCCTCTCCTGGTCTGAGGGCTATAGGGGAACCTTGGGGGACTGAGGCCTTTGTGGGGGCCAGGAGGAGCTACAACAGAACTGAGCTTTGGGGTGCTACCTGGGACCCGGCCTTCCCCAGACTCAGGTCCAGCAGGTGAAGATGAAGAGCTTCAGAATTGGGGTCCCTAGGGGTAGGGACCTAACACCCCAGCTTACCTTCTTTCTTGCAGCCTGGGGTCCCCAATGTGCTGGAGCAGGGCCCAGAGAGGGGCTCCAACAATGCCAATCAGGTGCAGATGGTAAGCGTCTGCACATACACCTGTCCTGGCACACACACCTGCCCTGGCCTACCTGCCCATGGCTCATCCCACCACCCACCATGGGACAGCTTGGGCTGTGCTCCATCCTCCTGTCCCCCTTCTGTCCTTTAGTCCACACAAATGTCCCTGATGTGCCACTCCAAGGGCCCTACTCTACTTCTGGTATAAGCCCCCTCCTAACTCTTGTGCTCTCTCTTCCCACCTGCTGCCTGGGTGCAAGTAAGTGAAGTGGCCCTGGGGGAGGAGAGGGGAGGGCTCTCCCCCAGACCAGGACTGTGACAGGGAAGTGGGAGGGTGGCAAGCAGGGCTATGGCCTGCACCTGGACCATTCCACTTCCCTTTGGGGCCTCTGTGGCCTGCAAACCACAGAAATCAGGCCCTGGACAGGCAACTACTCTTACCAAAACCAGAGTCCAGAAAGATTTGTGTCCTCTTGCTGATGGAAACTGCTTATCTCAGCACCCTAACTCTTCCTGAGTAAAGGCAGTCAAAGAGCTGGGGCAAGCTAGAGTCTGAAGTACACATATCCAGCGCCATACCTTGTGCTGGTTGTGGAGCATAGGGAGCCTGGGTCAGCCATCCTGCTGGACCTGGGGTGCTGTGAGGCCCCAGGTTTCTGAGATAGAGTTGAGTTCCCCAATGTGATGCCAGTACAAGGACTTCTCACGTATGTATGTGTTGTTTAAAAGAATACTTTAAATACCTCTGAAAATATGACAAGTTAAAACATAACTGGGGACATCAAGGCCGCTCGGAACACCTGAAGGTACTATGGAACATTCTAGAAATCTCCAGACTAAAGGCTCCCAGAGGTCTTCCAGGTTTAGGGATAGGAGAAGGGGCTTTTCTCTAAAAGAGTCAGGGATGCGGTGCTGAACCTTCCTCTGCCACGTATTGTGAGGCAGGAGCTCTGCTCTACGGGCATTGGGCAGGTGGGTGTCCAGTTCCCCGAGGGGAAACCTGCTGGTCATGCAGCCACCTGTTCCTTCCAGTCACAGAGCTTGGACTTCTACAAGCGAGAGGTAGGTCCTGGGGGAGGGGGGTTTGGGCAGTCCATGCTCCAGCCCAGGTCCTGATTCAGAGTTCTGGCACCCTAGATAGAGTGGTCGAGGAAAGCACTGGGCCGAACCCGGGTGAAGTCCTCCATCTGCCTTGAGGCGTGAGTCCAGGCGGGCAGGAAACCCCCAGCCCAGCCCCTTTCTGGACTTGCTTGCCCCTGAGGCCCCTCTGCACTGCCTGGACTTCTTCTAGGTTCCTGACATTCAGCCACCAGCGAGGCCCACATGACCCTATCCTGGCAGGATGTCTGCCCAGCAACCCCTGGGTCACAGATGACGATGCCTACTGGGCCATGAATGCACCCACGTGAGCACGGGGCCGTGGGACCATGGGTATGCCTCCAGCTTGGGGGGCTGGAAGCACCACTTCCCCTCAGCCCTACCACTCTCCTCCCAGGGTAGCTATGCCCACGAAGCTTCGTGTGGAGCGGTGGGGCTTCAGCTTCCGGGAGCTCCTGGATGACCCCATGGGGCGGGCCCACTTCATGGACTTTCTACAGAAGGAGTTCAGTGGTGAGAAGCCCCATACTTCTTGCTAATGGCAGGCTGCTTGAGGGAGGCTGCTGGCTGGCCCTTCCTCCCAGGCTGCCGGCCAGCTCGGGATCCTCCTGTCCCAAGAGGCCTTGGATCCCCATCTTGGCTACCCCTGGGTAGGATCTCTGACTTGGCTCTCCTGGCCCATAGCGGAAAACCTCAGCTTCTGGGAGGCGTGTGAGGAGCTGCGCTTTGGAGGGCAGGCCCAGATCCCCACTCTGGTGGACACTGTGTACCAGTGAGTGTGGTGGAGTAGTACTGGCTGGCCAGTGTGTGGGCATGTCCAGCCTGGACTCCCAGATGCTATCTCCGTCCCAGGCAGTTCCTGGCCCCAGGCGCTGCCCACTGGGTCAACATCGACAGCCGGACAATGGAGAGAACACTGGAGGGGCTGCATCAGCCCCATCGCTACGTCCTGGACGATGCACAACTGCACATCTACATGCTCATGAAGAAGGTGGGCCCCATCTGGGCTTGTGTCCCCACCCAATCTCATGGGGCTCATCACAATGTTGGTTGCTTTTGTTACGTTACCTGTTTGGATTTTGTCCCAAGTATTATCTCTAGTGCCGGCGTGTTTCCCCCGCTCCTCTTGTCAGGGCAAGGGCAGCCTGCTCTCTACTGTGTGTGCCGATTTCTACCCTGTGTGCCCCCAGTCTCCTCCCACTCCTCTGTGGCTGGTGCTTCCATGTCACAACTCTATGCTGTGATTCTCCAGTGTGCAGACCCCACAGCAGAGTCATGCTTGACCCTTCCTTAGTTATCACTTTTTAAAAAAATAACGAGTTGGGCCCCAGTATTGGCCAAGGGTGGTCAGTGAGGCTTGGAAGTTGTTTGGTTTGGTTTCATTTTTATTTTGAGACAGGGCCTGGCTGAGATGCTGAGGCTGGCCTGGTTTACCTCTCCATATGTGTGGGCATTGTAGCTCCTGGCTATGTTTTGTTGTATTGTGGTCCCACTAGATGGGAGCCAGGTCTCCTCAGGTCTGTCCACCTTGATCTAGGCAAGTCAGGGTGGCTGCTGCCAGCCCTTTTCCTGTCAAGGCCTCTGTGTAGGCAGGACAAGACCCCAGCAATGCTGGGTTGGACCCAGTGCCTCATACGTGCTAGGCAAGTGCTGTCCCCTGAGCTCCAGCTCAGCCCAGGATGCTGTCTCTGGCAGGACTCCTACCCAAGGTTCATGAAGTCTGACATGTACCAGGGCCTACTGGCAGAAGCTGTGATTCCACTGGAAACAAAGAGACGGTGAGCCTAGGCAGTCCCTGTGCCCACTGAGTGGTGAGGGCCCTGCAGGGAGGAGACAGGGCCTTCCTGCCACTTGTCTGGCCTCTTCTTGCCGCAGGGTATTCCCATTCATGCGGAAGCCTCGGCTCTCGAGCCCCAGCCCTGCTCTGCCGCCCACCTCTGGGGAGCCCTCAGCAGCTGGAAGCGCTGCAGGTGGTGACGAGGAGAGCTAGGAGGCTCACCCCCTGCCAGCGACACCTGTGATGGTGGCCACCCTCTCCTGCACCCCGTGGCACTCAACCTGAGTCCAGAGGGCCCAGCCTTGCCAGCCTTTCTCCAACTTCTCCTTTCCCTCAGACATGACATCTCCTGCCCAGAAGGGACTGGTCCTGGGGAGGGATCTCACTGGCCATGCTTGGCCAGGAAAGGACTTGTTCCCAGAGAAAGAGGAGGCCATGTGGAGCCCCTGGCATTCTGTAGCCTTCAGCTCAGCACTGGGTGCCCTTCCCCACCAGAGAACACTAAGACAGCTGGCACAACAGGACACCTGTCATGAGAAAAAGCAGGCTTTTGGGTCCTCCACTCTGCCCAGGCACAGCTCCCCCACCCTATGACCCTAATCCTGCTGAGACCATTCCAGCCTCTTCCACCTACTCTCGTGTGCTGCCCATGGCACCCGCCCCAGGTTCAACAGATGACTCCATGCTGTCACTCTGACCAGGAGCCTCCCAGTTCCCTCAGGGCAGGTCTTTGACAGGATGGCACAGCCAGTGTCCATTCTTCCCATCTAAACCTTCCTTTGGGCTACTGGTGTTATTCCCTCTCTGGTGAGGGTACCCTGCTTCCCCGGACCTAGGCTAAAGGCATGGGCTAGTTCCTTTTAAGGTGCCACCCACCCACAGGGCTGACCCACATCCTTTTCCCATCCACTCTGGTGCAGAAATAAAAGGACCTCAGCCCTGCGCTGGTCATGTGCTGGTGAATGCACATGGTGTAAGCACGTGAGGCATGTGTGTGTGAGCTGGCCACAAGGCAAAGGTCAGTGGGCATGGCTCAGGTGTAAAGGTGACCTCCCTCAATGTGAGTCTCTCTGCCCCAGACTCTCAGGCTCCAGGCTGCGCTGAGACTTGGGGAGGTGGAGGGTACAGTCTGTGCTCTGGCAGCCCAAGGTGAGCAGGGGCCTGTGAGGATGCTGGCCAAAAGAGGAAACTGCCAAGGAAGCGCTCATAGGAGGGGCTCCTGGCATTAACACAGCACCTTCTGGGCAGCTGTGCCCAGCCTTCTCTGAGGCCCTGAAGTTGCAGGGGCACAGCATGGGCAGAGCCTCTAGGACCCATGAGTGGCCATGGTCATGGTAACAAGTTTAGGAGGTGAAGACTGTGGTTGGAGGGAAGCTGGGAACAGACTCCTGTCCTTAGCAGTCACCAGCTGACCTGCAGAGCACTTCCCCCAGGGATGGCTCTACTGAAGCCCCCAGGCAAACCCTCTCTCTGCCCCTGGCAGTTCTCATATATGCCACTGTCCCTATAGCCCCTCTTATAGCCCCTCTGTGCTCAAGTTCTGTAGGCTGGGTTGCCTTTATTTTTCAGGGACAGTGGACCTACTTCCTAGCACAACATCCAGTTGTTCAACCTTAACCCCACATTCCCACCCCAGGCCTTCCCAAGGAGAAAGAGGAGCAAGGATACCTTAGAGGCTACGAGACCAGAGCTGTATTTAAACCACAGCAAGCTCCGGCAGGCTCCTCATTTCCAGGCTGCATGGCATCTCCCTGAAGCCCCTCCCAGCCTTGCCCTGCCCCAGTGGCAGCAGGTGCTCACCCAGCCCTCCACTGCAGGCCCATGCTGGCCCAAGGCTCCTGCTTACAAGGGGATTGGTGCCCTGCTGGTCAGCAGTTCTCAAACCTCAGGACTCGCTCCCAAGGCTGTGTGGCGACTGCTGGGCCTGTAAATTCCTGTCCAGTAAATTCCTGCTTTGCTCCTTGGGCAGACAGGCAGATGGCGGGCTCACACCAGACCACAGGGCTCTTCGAGACAGTGCACGTTTATTCTGTAGTTTCTGTGGTGACTGGCATCATCAGGCTCTTTGCTACAGAGCTCAGGTTCTGGTCTGGGCAGGGCTGCTCCTTGCAGAGCATAGCAGTTGCCCTTGGGCCTCAGGAGCGACAAGGCACAGAGTGAGTCCTACATCAGGTGAGCACCAGGGAGTGGGGCAGGAGGTGCCCCCATGCCCAGGGACATGGGGCCTCTATTGGACAGCAGCTCCTGTGTGTGGAGGGCACAGACTGACACCAAGTGGATGCACTAAGGACACCTGTAAGCTGTGGTGCAGGCCCCCTGCCCACCTGTAGGGGGCACCCCCACTCTAGATCCCTATTCCTCTCCCCCCATGGGAGCTGCTTCATCTGCTCTGGATAGGCCTGGAGGGCTGCAAGGCCTCAGGTCTTCCCCAGCACCCATCCTCTGATCTTCATGATCCCAGAGGTCAGTGCAGAGGGGGGACCAGGCAAGAAGAGGAGGGGCACGCAGATCAGGCCTGGGAGTTGCACATTCTACAGTGGCTTCTCTGGCCTGGGAGAAGCTGGTAAGGAGAGGGCACAGAGCAAGGGTGCCATGCCACAAGGTGAGCTCTGCTCACAGCCCAGGAGGCTGCAGAGGCACCCTGGCTGAGACCCTCAGGGCATAGTGAAACCCAGTGCAGCTCAGTGTGCACATGGAGTGCTGGGTCAGGGGCCTGGGCAACACCATGTACATCCTCGGTCGTGACCAGTAAGGCCGTGGCTCCCAAGTGGACAGTGGTCACCAGGTCAGGAGTGGGGATTCTATAGGAGGCTGAGGGAGGGGCCCACTTCCCAGGGTGCCTGGCTTCTGCAGTTGGAGTCTTTCCACGTGCTGCAGCTGGTTCCATTTATAACTAGCTTCGGTACCGTAGCCGGGAGAAGCGGTCCCTGATGGCCTGATCACTGTCTGGCCCGCCGTCACCCAGGCGAATTACCCTGCTGCCTGGGACAAGGTCTCGTACCTTGTGCTTGGTCACAGAGACCAGGCCAGGCACACTGGGGCTTGCTGGGCCAGTCAGGAGGACATAGGCAGCATGGCGACTTGGCTCAAACAGGAGCGCTGTGGGGGAGAAGCTGTTAGAGCCTCTCAGGGTCAGCCAGAGCAGACCTGGGTGCCCGGGGCCCACGATCACACTCACCATCGAAGGCAATGATGTGGGCAGAGATGTTGACCAGCTCCAGAAGGACGCTGGGCAAGGTGGGGTGGAACATGTACAGACTGTGCTGGGCGACTCTGGGCTCCTGGAGTGAGGACCACCAACAGGCCTCAACACTCCCGCTGTCCCCAGGCCAAGGCCACACCTAGGCAATACTCAGGCCACCTTCAGGGATGCCTCACTACAGCTACCATGCCCAGAGCTGACACCCACCAGGAAGCCCCCCTTCCCAACCTGAGTTTGGTCCTGTTCCTTCCTGGCATCCATTATATCAGTTCTCCCCAACACAGAGATCCCTATCAGCTCTAGGAGACCCCTCAGGGCACGTTCCCCACTGTGGCCCACTCCCACTAGGCTTCAGCTGATTTGGGATGGGCCAGCCACCAATGGGCAGGGCTATCCCGAGTGTGTTCCCCCATACCATCTCATTGGTGCTGGCCAGTTCATGGAGGCCCCAGAAGAGGAAGGCCGAGCGGTGGTCAGCAGTTGGCAGACTGGCAGAAGGTGGGCCCCCAGGGAAGCTGGGGAGGGCCTGGCTCCACAGGACAGCCCCACTTCCAAGGTCCAGAAGCAGGATCTGGGGAGGGAGGGGACACTGGGGAGCACTGGGATAAACTCAGGGCTTACATGGGCATACATGCCCCTAGCCATGCCAGCATGGAGGCAGCTGCTCTCTTGGAGGCAGCCAGAACCTTCTCTCTGGTCTGAGGGCAGCTGCCTCTGGGGCCACAGTGCTGCTTCTCGACTGTGTCAAGTTGGAATCTCTGGAGGAAGTAAAGCCCACCTGTCTATCAGTGCCAGTTCCATTTTCAATGACCACGGCCAAGGTGTCTGGCTTGTAGTGGCCAAGGATGGGTTTTCTGGAAGAGGAGGAGAAGAAGAGTTCACAAAGGATCTCTGTAAAGAGACTAGGATGAAGGAAACACCTGGGGTCAGTGTGCCACTCAGTCCTCCATGTCCACACCAGGACAGGGCTGGGGATGCCCATATCTGGCCCCAGGAATAGATGACCCTCAGAACCAGAGGTTTCACTGGCCCCACTATAGGGGAAGGGCAGCACCAATGGCTAGGAAAAAGGCCTTTGGCAGAAGAATGTGGACCCCTCCAGCCTGCCCCCCACCCTCCTACCAGCCAGTGGGGTAGGCTGCAGATGCCAGGAGGGGACAAGGGGATAGATTCCATACCTCATGACCTGGACTTCACCGAGGGTCCACCTGGGTGTCAGCTCCTGTCCATCCAGGAGCACACAGGCCTCAGAGCTCACAAGGAGCAAGTCCTGGCCAGATTTCCCTGGAACGCTCATCAAGTAACGGACTGCTCCAGAGCTGGACAGGGGAGCATAAAGAAGCACACAGTCCCTGGGCTGCCTCATACCCCACCAAGCCTGTAGGGACTGACTCCTGTAGGTTCCCACAACATAGCCCCACGCCTCAGCCCCCCAGCTGGAGGAAAAGCAGGACCCTGGTAGCTGGGGGGAAGATGAGCATCCCACCAGGGAGCTCTCTCCTGAATGGGACTGGACTCTGGTTGCCCAGGGAGGAGGAGGAGGAAGAGGAGGAGGAGCATCCCACCAGGACGCTCTCTCCTCAAGGGACCCTGGCTGCCCAGGGAGGAGGAGCATCCCACCAGGATGCTCTCTCCTCAGCTGTGCTTGGCCTCCATCTGTCTGTGTCCCTTTTCTGAATACAGGATGGTCTCACGGCCCAGAGCTGCACAGTGGCCCTCAGCCTGTTTGGCTCTCTTGTGGTCCTTGCAGGTCCCAAAGCCCAACCCGTGGGACAAACACCATGCTCCAGACCAACCTGTGCAGAAGCTGCCTGGTGGCAGAAGTGTTCAGCATGCTCTCCCAGAGGGGGTCTCTCTTGAAGGGGCTCTCTCTCCCAGTCACCCTCTCATAGAGACCCTTCACAGAGAAGCTGCACAGGGAACTTGCTATTTAAAACAGAGAAGTAGGAGTTACTAGGGTCACCCCGCAGCCCCATACCCAGCATGCTGCCACCCACGGAACAGGTGCTTGGGTCCCCTGAACTTTGGGATCAACCAGCACCTCTGTGACAGAGGGCAGCAGATGCCCTGGGGGCAGAAGCCAGCTTCCCTACATGCTGCTTTCTCCAGGGCGCTGAGCTAATCTGTTGAAGACCAGCACTCCTGTGAGTAGCAAGCGCCCCCTGGGAACACAGGGGCTGGCATACCGCAGGGCAGGAGGATGTAGTGCGCGCCCGTCCGGGTGACATGGAGGAGCAGGCCGCTGTCTCCGTCCACACCGAGGCTGCCTCTGTGGCCAATCTGGCGCCCAGTGCTGCCTGAATAGATGTACCCACTGACCTGCAGTGACAAAGGACAGTGGAAGAGAGGTAGACCTGGACCTGCAAGAGAGTCTGGGATCAGACCTGATCCTCTCTGGGAGGTGAAAGTGGACAAGGAGGCTGAGAGGAGGCAGCATGGGGCTGGGACTGGGGATTCAGGAAGAGAGCAGTGTGGGCCGGCACCTGTGTGGCCTCCCGGGTAAGGATCAGCAGGTCTGGAGCCCCATCACCATCGACATCAGGCACCTGGAGCAGAGGGCTCAGGACAGAGGCATTCCCACCAAAGCTGCTGGGTTGGCTCCACAGGGTCTCCCCTAAAACCAAGCACACCATCATTGTACAGGTGTACACTGCAGACACCTTCCCAGCAACCTTGCAACGGCCCTGGGGAAGTCATCCACGCTCAGGGCCTGTGGCCCACACATTCAGAAATGGGAACATGTGTGAATGGGCCTGACGTCCCAT